GATGGGTAGGGGAAGGAGGGGGAAGCTATGGGAGAAAGACGACTTCTATGGGTTTTGCTGGAGAAACGCTCTGTGATCACAACGAAGCTCTTCAGTCAACTGATGTCCACTCCCGAGAGCTCATCGAGTGTGAAAAAAGTGCGAGCCAAGGTGCTTAAACCTTAGGTTCGCAAAGGCAGGGCACCAGAGCACCAGATGTTGAGATGATTCCACCTCATCGTCCTCCATGCAGCTGGTGCAGTAAGGGTTATCCACGACATACAGCCTTACGGCATGGTTACCAATCACAAAGTGACCAGTAGGCACTCCCACCAATAGTGAGAGATGCAGCTTGCTTAGTCTCAAGAGCTCCTTAGACCGCCTCCGGTCCACCCGTGGCCAGAAGGTTATTGCCACCTTGCACTACAAGGTCGTCGCCCAGCACTCGCTGTGCTGACTAAACGCCCATCTGTCCAGAAGCAGACCAGACGGGGTCAGGGGAACCCACAGACCCTCCCTATACGAAAGTAATTCCACGAGGGTTCCCTGTCTTGCGAGCTCATCAGCCATGCAGTTGCCAGCGATTCCGCTGTGACCTGGAACCCAAATAAGCTTAATAGCAAAATAATCAGACGCGGTCGTTGGGGAAGTCAAACACTCCCTCACCGTTTTCGAACGCACCGTCAAGGAGCCAAGAGCCCTGATGGCTTCTTGGCTGTCGGAATAAATATTTACCTCCTTAACAGATGTTACACTAGAGAGCAACCAATCTGAAGCCTCTTTCATCGCGGCCACCTCAGCTCGGAAAACACTGCAGTGATCCGGTAACCTAAATTTCAGGTTGATGGAGAGTTCTTCGCAGAAGACACTTCCGCCCACCTTCCCATTCAGCTTCAATCCATCTGTAAATAAGTTTACAGGTCCGCGATTCCAGATACTGCACCCCTCCCAGTCTCCCCTCGCTGGAATGTGGGTGGTAAAAGATCCATTCGGACCCAGACCAACGTCCAGTGGTCTGTCCGAGTCGGTAGGATTCCGAAGCCTTTCAGAATTCTGGAGTGCCCATAGCTTGAGGTGAACTTGAAGCCCACCCACTTAGGCACAACATTTAACATAACCGCAAGAGTAGGTGTGGTTCGAAGTGCCCCACTGAATCCAATTAAGGCGGCTCTTTGCACCTCCTCCAGCTGCTTGACTATGTAGGCCCTGTCAAGTGCGTTCCACCAGACGAGTACCCCATATAAAAAAATTTGCTTGATTATAGTTTCATAAAGCCAATGCACTACCTTCGGTGAGAGGCCCCAGAGCTTGCCAATGGCCCCTCTACAACAATACAATGCTACTGTAGCCTTCTTGACTCTTTCCTCCACGTTAGGCTTCCAGGAAAGCTTACTGTTAAGGATCAAGCCCAAGTACTTCACCCTGTCAAAGAGCCTTAGAAGAAGACCACCCATTGAGGGAAGACGGTAATTCGGTATCTAATACCTCCTAGTAAAGACAACAAGCTCCATTTTACTGAGATTTACACCCAGCCCGCAGCTAGAAGCCCAGTTCTCAACCAAGCTCAAGTAACCCTGCATAAGCTCAAACAGTGTTTCCGGAAACTTTCCATTTGTTATCAATACTACATCATCGGCATAGGCAACCAACCGACAGCCACTTCTTTCCAGAGCCACCAGCAAGTCATTGATTACAACGACCCACAGCAACGGCGAAAGAACTCCCCCTTGCGGATTGAAGCGCTGCCCACTCTGCCGCGACAGTTCTATTGTAAAGCAAGCGGTAAATAAACCTAACAAGGTCGGCTCCGACCACTAGCTTATTTAGGGAGTTAACTACAGCCTCAGGCAAAACATTGTTAAAAGCCCGCTCGATATCAAGGAAGGAACCGACCGTAAATTACTTCTGCGAGAAGCATTGCTCAATATTTTCAACGACCATGTGTAAGGCCGTTTTAACAGATCTGCCCTTGCAGTAAGCATGCTGATCCAAGGAAAGGCGCTCCTGAGGATCCCGCTCCTTAAATGCAGATCAATCTGCCTTTCCAGCGTCTTCAAAAGAAACAAGGAGAGACTTATCGGCCTGAAGTCCCTGGGTGATACATGAGGGACTTTACCCGCCTTGGGAATGAACACCACTCTGACCACCCTCTAAGACCCCGGTACATGGCCTTTAGCCAATCAGGACTACATCGACTACACCGTGCTCAAAGTGGATTAAAAGGTTGGCTTTAGAGTTCTGAAGATTGATCTGAAGAATATTCATCCTCCAAAATCCTCTCCACCACCCCTCCGCAGGCGCCATCCCCATCGCCCTGTCGAACAGCGGGCCAACACTGTTGAGCGATCCCGCAGTTGAAGGAGGACCATCACTGCTGTCACTGTCCGACATGACGGATTCGACCTCCATACCTACGGGGGCGAGAGGCTTAAGAGACTCCCAATTCAGCAACATCAGCGCTTGCGGAAAGTCACCGTCGGAGTTCTCAAACCGGATTACCTTCCAGCTGTGCGCTGAAAAGTCCGGGTTGCAGTAGCGGAAGATATCTTCCGCCTCCCTCAGCGAGGAAGGTGCCGAGGGAAGCCAGACCCGCGCACGGGGACGCAAGGGAAGTTCTCCCTTGTTCATAGCCTCGAGTCTGGCTCCCTTCTAAACCTCTCCGACCAAAGCTACTGCCGCCTGTACAGCGAGGCCGAACGCACGCCCGCACACCACCTTCTTAAACATGCCCTGGTGCCAACCAGCACTCTCACACCGCGGCGGTGACCCAGGGTTTTCCCTGACCACTCTCATACAGACCTCGGATAAAGCCGACGACAGTTTCCTCCAGTCCTCCCTGGCGATGGCCGTCCTCCTTACCCCGATCCAAAACGCGCAGAGTGATAGAACCCGACTGTTTAGCGATCTCGCTAAAGAGCTTAGGCGTCCCACCCGATCTAGGCTTCTTGGGGAGGGGGGTTTCCCCCTCCTGCGACCTCTGCCGCTTGACAGGGTCAGTACGGGATGCGCTCGCAACCCCCGAAACAGCCTCACCACTCCACTCGAGCGACCGCGCGTGTTGCTCAGATAGCTGCGAAGCACCCTGCTCGCTGTATCGCGCCAAGATCTTGGTGGCCATGCGACTGTCATCTGGTGCTTTCCTGGCCGGCCCAGCGTGCCGATTAGGCCTAACGGAGGGATTTGCCACGAATTTAGCCGCAAGTCCTTGGCTGGTGCCGGCCATACTGTCCGGTAACCTCACGTCCAGAACCGCAGACGACTTCATCTGCGTCCCTACCTCCGTCCTGGATGCAGGCAAATTCGCCCGCGCCCTTAACCCCGAGTTTAGGTGCGGTATGTTCCCACTGGCACCTCCCAAGACGGGCGCAGACAAAGAGGTCGGCTCCGACCCCTGACGGCACCTTGCACCATCAGCTGCCTTCCAATGGGCACGGTGTCGCTTAACATCCTGGATTAGGGGGTGTGAGTTGTATGACATAGGAAATCACTTAAATATTTTCGATTCATGCAAAAATAAGAACACTGGGTAAATTTATGTAGGTAAGTAATTAAGTATATTTTTTTAACAACTTAAGTAAACTTCTGCATCCGCCATGCTCTACATCTTTATATCAAAAAATAATTAAATTACTGTATTGAATCTTTTATTGATAAAAACGAAGGGTTGTATCAGATTTTCGACGTAGTTTTAAGTTAGTTTTTTTAGCCGTTTCAGTGAAATGGTTAACTGCTATCGTTTTTATATAGCGAAACCACGCTCAATCAAGTGGGTATTTGGGATAACCAAACTAACAGCCGTAACTACGTGGTTAAGCTCGGATGGAGACATTGTCCAACTCAACGGCCATAACTACGTGCTTAAGCTCTGGTGGAGACAGAGTAAGAAGTCTACTCCTATAATGACTCCATCCATAATCTCCGCACTTGTGTAACACCGCCACATTCCCTATTGCGACGACTTTGCGTGGTACTTCTTCCACATCTTGGGTAGTCTCACCAGTTTCTGCCCTCAACCTTGCTCCAGGCCTTACCTCTTTAGTGACCAAATCAGATCGAATAATGCAATGTGATGCGTCCGTATCCACAGTTAGTACTCGCTCATATCCGTCCACATATCCACTAACAGTGACTTGCTATCTTTTCTGCAAATTTTCGATGGAGATTATGAGGCATTCAATTGCGGGAGTCAGCGCGCGCCCTCTCGTGCTGGCTCGTTTTAGTTTAATGACTGAATCGGGTTGGATTCGTCTTCTTCAGCCCTACGTTTGCGTCGTGTTGAACTGTTGTACCTGTTGGAAGCCGTCTTACCATCACGTGCAAAATGGCCTGGTTTTGCGCAACTAAACTTTTCCAACATCCGTTTTCTCGGTTCCACCAGGATTATTCTTACCTGCGATTGACGTTTTCAGATTCTTGTTCATCACGTCCGGTGTCTCCACTTCCACTTCCAAAGTTATGCGTAACATACATAAAAAAAAATATTCCGACGAACTGATAACCTCCTCCTTTTTTGGAAGTCGGTTAAAAAACCACGCTCAAACAATTGCCATCCAAAACAAACACACCTCCAATAGCTGTTTGGTCAACACGAGCCTACACTGCTTGCAGCTACAAAAGCCGATTGGTGGACACATGTAGTCATCACCTCGAGGAATAACCTGCTAATATATTTGCTGATTGGTGAAGATAAGCATTCATCGACTAGAGGAATAACGTAGCTTATATGAGCTGACTGCTCCACCAACCAAACCAAATCGGAAAAAGAAATACGAGGGTTACTGCCGTTTGTTCATTAACTTATAAAAAACTCAATCTTTCTTTAGATTCAGCGTTTAACTGGGGGATATATTGCACACGATCTTCAAAAGTGACACAACTCAAAATAACACATTCATCATAAAATGCGTAAAACTACTTTGTAACACATGCAAATCATATGGGCAAGAGAGACTTTACCTTAGGTTTTTTCAACAAATTATATCTGAAATTTGCTCCAGCTTTTGCTTGAAGGTAAATAAAAGCTCTGCGTATAATTTTAGTGCATAATTTCAAAAATTCCAAATTTTGAGTTGTGTTACTTTTGAAGATCGTGTGCGAAATGCATGTCGGCATCAGAGCACAAAGTTTTAAACTCTAAATGACTTCGTTTTTGAATAAAACCTACACTAACGTTACTTCTTTAATTTTGCTGATCAGCAATTAATTTTAGACAGGATAAAATCTGCGGCAACATGCCGCATGCAATTTTTTGTGTTTTCTGACAAATAAAAAAATTTTATTTTAATAAACTTTTGAAAGAAATACTCGTAGCGTATGTACTTACATATGTACGCTTACATGCATGCATTTCACTGTATCAAAGGCTTTGAAGATAACTTTGTACCATGAGACTTCATATGCGAATTAAGGCCAGCCCCTTGTGCGAAACGCTTTCCACAAATTCTACATGAATATCTTTTTTCGGCATCATGAATTAATTTGTGCTGTCGCAAAAGTTTTGAACTAGTAAAAGATTTGTTACACACATTACAATGATGGTTTCGCAATTCCAGGTGGGCATTAACGTGGTCTTTTAATTTTCGTTTTTCATAAAATGCCTTCGAACAAATTTCACACTTATGCTTCGGTCGTTTTTCGTGGCGGTCCCTATGTCTTTTAAATTCAGCAAATGATCCAGTTGCTTTCCCACAAATATCACATACATACGGTTTTTCACCCGTATGCAATCGTGCATGAGTTTTTAATTCTGTAGCCGTTGCAAGGGACTTGTTACACACCTCACAATTAAACGTGTAGTCTTGAGCATGTCTTCTTAAATGAACTGTTAGGTTAGTGACCAGCTTGAAACCATGCCCACAAATGTGGCATTTGAATGGCAGTGAGCCATCATGAGTCGATAAATGAACTTTGTACTGGCATGGACCAAATATAAGTTGTTCACATTGTGAACATTCAAACGGAGTTACATCGACTTCCAGAAAAGCGATGTGATCATAATAAGGGCAACTTGGTTTATAATCTATTTTTTTTCGTTTACATGCTATCTTTTGTCTCTTCTCATTCGAGCATACTTTTCTCAGTCTTGAAATTTCTTTTTCTAACTCGTTTTTCGTTAGATTCAATCCATATGCTTCATTAAACTCCTCAAGTACATTATTCAAAGCTTCACGTCGCCTGTTAGCGAATCTATATGCTATGTTCTTTTCATCCCAAAGACTTGGATATCGCTGGTATATATGAGCCAATCTGATAAATTGTTCCTCATTTAAATTGCTATCCTGTACCGTGAACTTTTCGGACGTTGGTTTCAAAGTAACCTGTAAAAATATTACAAAAGAAAATAAACAAGTATGTAATTTAAAAAAATCTTTTTAAGACAAACATTAATTGGTGGTTACTAAAAAGAAGAAAAATCGACCCCCACACCACCTAACCGCAGTTACTTCTTTCCATTTAAACAATGTACATACGTTCTAAATTTGAAACAAATCCGACTATAAATACGTATTCTCCAAATATCCCCGACTACCTAGCGGGCAAGATTGTTGTTTAGTTATTCCTTTATTAATGCGAAACCTTGAGGATTCATTCATCTTTTCTATTGCATTGCCATCTGATTCTGAGCCAATTTTGAAGTTTCAAGTCTGTAGCTCATCGAGAAATTGGTTAAAAATTGATTGCAAGATTTCCTTACACACAAGCGAAACTTAATAAAAGCTTGTAAAACAAATAACCATAACTTTTTTCGAGATGTAGTGAAAGGGAAATTAAAGGAATCGGGCCGAAAATAACTTTTCGAGACACAACGACTACGTTTATAACATTTTTGGTCAATCTGCCCATCCACATCGACTTTTCGACTCGTAGGTCCATTTTAACTTTCCCTGTCACATATGTATGTGCATATGTATATGTATGTCTGTGCACTGCATACATAGTAGGATTGGGGAGCTTTTGAACTAAAGAGCAGCATATCTTGCCGATATGACGTAGGGTTGCCTATTTACAGGGAACTTAAATTTTAAGAAAACGTCTACTACCTTTCTTTAAAGTGCTGTATCTTGGAAACCTTTTAACGAAACTTAATGCAAAAAAAAGTATTTCTTTCGTCTTATTATGGGCTTTAATTAAAGGCCTGCAAATGTTGAACTATAAAACATAGCGACATGTGTCACATCTTGCAAGCGCCAGTTCATATTATGTCGCTCATACATGTTTCACAATAACATATGAAGACACTGTCGAATAATTGAAATCAAATCATGCATCAAATCTATGCATGTCAACACAAGCAACACATGCGACATAGTCAGCATTATTAATTATATTTTATATACGGGAAGCGATTTTGTAAAGTTTTTAAGCACCTATTATAGTAAAATGCATCAAAGAATTGTCTAATTTAAAACCTGTATATATTTTCACCCAAGGCAGGATTAAAAATATGCTACAGAAGCACAACAGCGAATAACAGCTTAGCTAAGTAGCAACGACATGCTATGTTTGAGATGGAATGACATGGCATAACACCTTGTTCGAGTTGACATGGCATAGCAATGCATGCAATTTTTGAAAGACATTTTTACAGAATGTTGAATTTTGCAGTTCTTTAGCTTTAATTATAAATTTTTTACATTAATGTGCAACGAATAAAAAAAGTAAAAAAAATTAAGTAAACATTTTTCTTTCTGATTTTTTTTTTGATTATAGAATTTTAAATGTTTTTTACATAAAAACATTGTCTATTGCGACAGGATTTGAGGAAATTTTAAGAGACTAGCAGCTAGAGCAAGTCTTCAGCTCCCGACGTCACAACAAATTCTTAACCCCGGCGCCCTCTACTAATGGGTTAAGAATAATTTAGAGAAGAAGAAGGTGCTGTATGTTTCCAATGGGATGTCTGCAAAAAATAGCTGCAACTAACTTTACAGTGGACTTTATTTCGACTATGACTACGTACCAATTACTTTAATCCTATATTAACCTTCAACCGTATTTTGTGTCAATTTGACACAATTTTCAGATTCCAATATATATATATTTAATACATGTATTCGAATTAACCTGGGATTTTGGCTCAACGTAAAAATCATATGCGAGTTTTTAATATTACTGTTCCCTTTCACGGGTAGATGTTCCTGTTAGTCTGTATAAAAAATTTCCCTAAAGAGTCGATTATGTATCAAATTGACACAATGGCAAAAAGAGCTTTATTAAACGGGAAAAAATTTGTTTTTACACATAAAAAAAAAACAGAATCAACGTAGTTCGAATTTTCTTTTAAAGTTTCTTATAAAATGGAATTGTCTGGGTTTGGTCAATTCGTAGGTAATGGGAGGATCCATACAGTTCTGGGGATGATGTGGATTATGAGCCATGTGAAAACATAGAAAGCGGTTATAACGATTACAACAGTGACGATTCGGATGCCGTATATTTTGAAGAAAATGCCAGAGTAGCGAAAGTTACAGAGCCAAATGTAATGCTTTTATGGAATCCGGAATGGAATATTTCCAATATAGGATATAAGCAGGAGGTTATTTTTGATTGAGGTTAGCGAATCCTTATGTCTTCTAAGTATTGGACAACACAAACATATGCCGCGTTGCAGTAATGCAATTGCTTTTATCCAAGGGGTTAGAAACCTAGATTCTGAAACTCCATCAACAACGCAGTCTTAACACCATTCAATGTCGCGAGCACCTGAGGCTAGCAAACGAGCTTATGAGCTACATATCGTCGTTTAAAGTACAAAACCGCGTATCGTCATTCTGCAAAACCGCGTAACTGACATTGACTGCCAAAAATAGGATTTGCTCACACAAGCTCTTGGCTCAATCCCTATACATTCGTCCTGAAATATGCTAGTAGCCAGAAATGCGATTGATTTATAAAAAAGATAACCATTTTGAAATATGAGTGTTTTTACTCTCTATAAAATAATTTATGCAATCTCACATACGCGGTTTTGCATTTTGTTGATACGCGGTTTTGTACTTTAAACGGCGATATGCATGTATATGTGTCCTTAAAAATCAAACGCTAATATTTATAGCGCACGATGTGATAAGTGTGTAATAGATATTTTCCCCGCTCATCGATATACATATTCTGCGAAAAATGTACAGAATCTCAACCCTTTTTGAATGTGCTTAAAATCTAACAATTATATAAAACGAAAACATTTTTTTTGGTACTTCATGATGATGAGATGTTGATAGTTCCGCGTTTTGTAAATGAACACCTTATAACAAAACACGTATCAATTAAAAATTCATTTATTTCAAAAATCAAGTTGAAAGCTTGAGTTGAAAACGCATTGTGTCAAATTTATATATTGACTCATTCGTGATAAAAAATCAACTACGCTTGAGGGCTAAGCTAGTTTAAAAGGTTAAATAACATCAAGTTAGGGAACTTCATATCCTTCTTAAAAGAATCTTTAAATCAATAAATAATTTTTTTCTTTTAGTTCTTATTGTAATAAAAGCGTGTTGTTGATTTTTTCATACTATAATTTTATTATTCATTAGGTTTATTTTTTTACAAACCTCTCCTTTATCTTGTTTCAATAAAAGGACTAACCTTGAAGCTGTCATTGGAGATCGAATATTCTTTTGCAATGAGTGTTGTTGATGGTTAGGGTATAAAGGCATGAAATTTCTGCGTTTCCGGAATATATTGTGTCTTTGCGAAACTATCTTGAAACTTTTGCTTAACTCCATTGTAGTCACTCTTGGACGCATACAGCACCTTGGTTTTCTCTGAATTATTCTTACTCCATTGGTAGAGGCTCTCGGCGGTCAGAATTTGTTGTGAAGTTGCTCTAGCTGCTAGTCTCTTAAAATTTCCTGCAATCCCGTCGGAAGCAGATTTCCCATGTGAACTTGCAACAAAGTTCAATTCTACCATTTCCTTGAATGGATTTTGGTGATTTCAGACCTTTAGTAAAGTTAATTTGATTTATTTACATTGTTTTTATTTTTAAACACCTTTTCTCTTTCAAAAATATACAATTTCATAAAATTTCAATATCTATTTGTCATATTGCTCGAGCGTTGGACGACCTAGAGCCATGATGCAATAATGAAAGGTGTTATACGTCGGCAACTTCTCGCTCTAATCCGCCATCTTGAACTACCTTAGGAGAAACTGTGTTGTTTCTTTGCTAATTTCACTGAACATTTCCCAAAATATTAGAAAAAAATTCTAATTGATTCAATTTTCGTTGTTCGTTTTGTTCTTATTCGCTGACATTTGTTTTCTAATTGCGTGAAATTTGGTAAGTATTGTAATAAAACCGAATTATTTTACAAATAAATTATAATTTTGCATTTATTAGGTAATTTCCTTAGGGGTTTCCTGGCCGACCTGTGCTGGTATTGTAATTAAGAGCTAATACACGTAAGTTACAACATATTATTTTGACTTCATTGATGAACCATTCGATTTGCAGCATTCTCTGGTGAACTGCAGCTGCGGCCGAATTTGATTGTGTGCATCATCCTGCAGATATTTTGAAGTAAGTTGGAACCAGCTCTTTGTTATTTCAAAACCTAATGAACCATTTATTCGCAGATTTTGTGGACGCTTCTGCTGTGCTGCGTTCCTCCGCCCGTGTATTGCTCCGCCCATGATACAAAAAAGAAGGTAGTTCCATTTAATGACATTCGTTGTTGTTGCTAACCATTTGACTTTTAATAAAATTATGACATTTCATAAAATTCATGCTACCTGATCACCAGAGATAATATTTTTTTTTTGTAAAAGTAAACAAAAATGTATGAAAATGAGTGAAGTTTAGTGAAGTTATTGAACATATATGAGATAAATTTTGTGTAAATTTGCAAAATAAAAAGAAAAAATGAGCTGTGTGTGCCCAAACTGTGAAAATTCGGTACATACATGTAAAGGATCTGGGGTTAAGTTTTTTACGTTTCCTAAGCTACCGTTCGTGCGAAAACAGTGGCTGGAAGCGTGTAACATACACGAAGAAAATTTACCCAGATTTCCATTTGTGTGTTCAATACATTTTGCATCTTCTGATATCGTGATTTGATATGGTGGTTTGATGTTCCTATGCCATTAAATCTATTACTTTTCAGACAAGTTTTTTGCATACATTGGAAATTTTGAATTCAAAATTTGTTGAAATTAATGGTGATTCGCTAACCACAAAGCCAAAATTTTTGCAAAATCTGATGAGAAATTTAAAAGTAAATTTGGACCAAAATATTATAAAAAGATTTTATTTGGGAAGAACATTCTTTAGAATTCGATTTTTAAATCGCAAGATTAAAGAAACGAAAATTGTATATCAAAATAAGAAAATGAAAAAAATAACAACATAATGCACTAATGGTTTTTATTATAAAATAAAAAGAATAATTACAATGTAACAGTTTACATTTTATATATTTTTAATAAAAGAGGGGCAAACCACGTAAGTAAAAAAATATCAAGTACTGATTATGAGTTTTGATTTGAAATATTCTCACATTGGTAAAAATATGGGAAAGAAAATACTCCGATGTATTGTTTTAATATTATCAAAGTGGCAAGGCCGTTGATAATACTGACAATTAATGAAACTTCAAAAAATTTTATTATCCGTCAAAAGTTGTTTATTGAAACTACCTTCTTGTTTGTATCATGGCTCCGCCCAGAGCTGTAAAACTGTGAAATCATTTGAAATTAAAAATCATCAATTTTATGCTATTATGTTTTCATTGAATTTTTCCTTGTTGGGGAATGTGGCTTATAATTTTCCAATTCTACATTCACTCAAAGTAGATACGATTGCACACATTAACATATTCAAAGAAAGATTGAAAAAATTGAATGACGAAACATCAACTTTTAACACTGAATACGCATTCAGATGAATGCAGCTTTTGCTATGTGTGCACACATTCATTCAGTACCAATCAATCGGTATAAATATTCTAAACACACAAAACCCACTGAAAAGTACGCAAGGTTGAATTTTATTAAACAGATTTCAAAATTTCAACACAAAAAATTGTTTATAGAACGTTATCATTAGTTTTTTTCACTTAAATTTGTATAAGTATTTATAAGAATAAAAAATATTAATTGGAGAAATATTTTTTAGTGAACGTGTCGTTAGAATGTCGTTATGAAAAATATAAATTATTTATGATTTTAACATCTCTGTTTAGAAAATTGTCAGCTTTCCAAATAAGTGTTACCAATGTACCATTAATAATGTATTCTGCATAAATTAGTGCATACATATATGTATAAGTTAATATAAACTAACAAATTTAAGAGCTTCTGGTTCTAACATTAGACATACATATACGTTTCATTACTTAATTATAAACATTTTTGATACAAATTTCTTCGTATTTTTTTTCTTCGTTATTGGGTCAAGCAGTTGATGGAAAATCGAATTTGTGGGTTAATGGAGATTTTTTTTGTTTACAATAAGTCACAAATTATCAACAATTTCCAAATAAAAATATTTAACAAAATTCGTTGGTCTATATTTTCATTAACACTCCTTACTGTAAGTGCAATATTTGAGAATGCATACCCATTTCATTGCAGAAGGTTTGGCACGCTTTTTAACCCAAGTTTCGGTTTGTTTGTTAACATAAAAACTACATATCGACACCTAAGTGAAAGATCGACCTATGTATATCGGCAGCCAGTTCAAAAACTCCCTATCTCAAAAAACTGTTCAAGAACACCATATTTCAGAAGTTTGTTGAAGAACGCCAGGACCAGGTTATTTATTGTTTAATTTTTGTATTTTCAATACACTGCTGCCCTGCATAAAGGGAAACCCGCGTGCCGAATTTTCTTCAGATATCTAAACTTTTGCTAGTTATCGTGTACACAAAAAAACGGACAGACAGACAGACGGACATAGACTAAGCAAGCTTGCTAAGAAAATAAGCTTCTAAGCTTCTTCAAGCAAGAGTTTTAAAAACTGTCAATTCTATTGACTCTGTTTTATATTTCTATATATAGTTCACTAGTTTCGAATCTAATATATGTGTATGTATGTATAAAGATGTGTCCTTTGTGCTCGACGGTTGCGATGTTTATTTGGAATAATTTCTCACCATTCATTGGCCATGGTTTAATGACAGAAAACGTCCATACTTACATACACATTGAAAAAAAAAATTTGTTTTTTTTTCAATTCCAGATATGTTTAAACTTTAAAGTATAAAATGTATCAACCCTGGGGAAAAAAGCATTAGTACTGAATGGTAAAAAATGTGTGCATTCATTTTAAATATACAATCATGTCTGTGTGCGAATGCTTCTGTTACATTCACATTCTATACTGAATGTCAATCTACCATTCAATAACACAACACAGTTTCTTTGTTTTCAAGTATTTTAAGCCACTCAGTAATGAGGTTTTTTTATACAAACAAACAATCAAAATTTTGAACAGAATGCCGAGTGAATGCAGATCCTACTGATTCAATCATTTTACAGCTCTGGCTCCGCCCGTGTTTTATAGTGTTGCGTTCCTGTTGCGCCTTTGCATTAGTGTGTGCGTTGTGCTTTAGACACGTTGAAGTAAGTTGAAAAAAGGTTTTTGTTTGTTAAAAACCTAAAAAGCCATTCATTTGCAGATTGTTTCTATGCTTCTGCTGTGCTGCGTACCTGCTTCACCCGTGTATTAGATTGCAGCGTTCCTGTTAATATAAACATCGTCGTTTAAGTACAAAACCGCGTAACTGACATTTGCTGCTAAAAATTGGATTTGCTCACACAAGTTCTTGGCTCAATCCTTATCCATTCTTCCTGAAATATACTAGCCAAAAATGCGATTGCTTTTTAAAAAAAGATAACCATTTTGAAATATGAGTGTTTTCACTCTCTAGAAAATAATTTATGCAACCTCGCTGGGTTTGCATTATCTTGATACGCGGTTTTGCATTTTATTGATACACGGTTTTGTACTTTAAACGACGATATGTAGATGTATGTACATATATATCACATATATTGACTTAGATACATATGTATGTATAGACAATTAATGATGGGTACATAATTTTTTTTATGTTGAAACTAGATATGTAGGTATATAGTATGTTATTATTATTATTTGGTTCAAAAAAGTCCTATCTCAAATGAAAATACTTTGAAAATGTGCTGAGATAGGGCGTTTTTGGATCGCCAGCTGAGATAGGGTGTTTTTGAACCGAGTTCTGAGATAGGGCATTTTTCAGTCAAATTCTAAAGTAGGGCGTTTTCCAACCAAATTTTGAAATAGGGCGTTTCTGATGTCGAGTGTTTTTCGATAGTCGCATTTTTGGGTATATGGAAGACGATTAAACACCATTTGTTTTTATATCGATTCTAAAAAATCAACGGTAATTTTTAGCCACTTCAAACTTGCATATAATAAGACTTAAATTGAAGGGGCTATAAAACTGAGTGCTCAAAAAAACTGTAACACTTCTGAGAAAAAAGTGTGAATTTTGGGTGAAAATTTGTTGTATTTTTTGTAGTTTTCTACGAAGTTTTAAAATTGGGTTTATATGGGTTTTGTTAGAAATTGAACTTTATTTTTATTGCAAATTCTTAGAAATAAATTAACATGAGAGGGAAATAATATCACTTTGAAATGGGGTTGCTATTGATATGACCGATACTGTATGTATATAATAAATTTTGTACAATTAAAAATGAAAGTGGTTTTACTAAAATGAACACAACGTATTAATTATAAATTCTGAAATATATTGTTTATTTCAAAAACAAATAAATAAAACATTAAAAAGCTTGCTGTATGACTCGAACTTGGATGTACGTGAACTTGGGTAATGTATAATTGTTTATATGATTCCTCAAATTATCACTTATATAACACTGTGGAACACAAAAAAACCTTAGTGCGAATATATCAGGTTTAATAGCTGTTGGCCATACCAATAATGCCTCATACTCCGATTTACTAGATCAATTCGTGTTCACCGAGAAAAAAATATTTCACGATCCAAAAATCTGAAAAATCTTTTTTCTCCAAATTTTGAACATTTATCGTTTTTGGTCTATATTTTGTGGCAAATACCATACAAAGCAAATATAGGCCAAAAAACGAAGAATTTTCAAAATTGTGAGAAAAGAATTTGCCCGCTATACTCAGATTTTTGAATCGTGAAATTTTTTTTCTCGAGAACACGAATTGATCTAGTAAAACTGAGTATGAGGCATTATTGGTATGGTCAATAGCTATCAAACCTGATATATGCGCACAAGAAGCCCATTTGAAAGAGGGGGACAAAATATCACACGTAAATGAATTCCTCTATTTGGCCTGTACTATATAAGTGAAACATTTCAAATTCATACGGGATAATTTTCTTAGTGATGCGACTTATATAAGGAATTATATATGCCATACTGTTCTAGCTGTGTATTCATCAGCTCAAAAATTTTAAGCATATTATCATATTCCTGTGAATAAAAACACGCCTAATTTTATTATTTTAATTATCTACAACTTTATGAGACTACCAAGCCATATATATACCTATTCAGATAATCGGAACGTTGTTGAGAAGGCTTATGCTTAGTACTTTTTCAACTAAAAGGCTTTTTTCTTTCCTTTTTGGTTGTTGTTGTTTCCGACAGGGTGGGTGTATGATGTATTTTGGAACGAATTTCCGCCATCCCTTGTCAAATTTGGTTTGGAGACAAACCGGTTTCGGCGTTGTGCCATCTTCAGTGTCATTTTTCGTTCTGCATAATTTTTATTATGCTTTTTTTCTTCCCGTTTTTCTTGTACTTCCAAAATACAATATTGACCTAAGGTAGTTCGATTTCGAGCTGTCACAACGTACAACACCTTCATTATTGCATCATGACCTAGAGCTATACGCCTTAAAGTTGACATTATAGACAATGTTTTTATGTAAAAAAAAATTAAATGCTATAGCCAAAAAAAAAATCAAAAAGGAACAATGTTTACTTGTTTTACGTTTTATACGTTGCACATTAATGTAGGAAATTTATAATTAAACCCCATAATAAGACGGAAGAAATAAATTTGTTTTCATAAGTTTCGTTAAAAGGTTTCCAGGATACAGCACTTTAAAAAAATATGTACTTATGATGATTTCTTAAAATTTAAGTCCCGTATAAATACGCAACCCATATTCATAACTCCTAGACCTTCAATCTCTTCAATTTTCATCCAAATCCTTAGAGGTCGCGCACAGAGCTGGCCGCGGTGACATGATATGTCTCATATGGGAACTCGTTTTTCGTTGCAAAGGCAAATAGAAACAACTGAGCGGAATTCACATCATTTAGTGCAATTTGTCTTAAAAGGTAAATATTTGAGTTGAGCTTTTGGGATTTGTTGTTTAACAAACGACTTTCCCTTTCAGATACCAAAGCAAAGCGCAATTTACTCGCATTTCGAAGGCAAAATTGCTAAATGCGGGCACTGCTGAATTTCCATAAACATCCTTTCCTGATTTTGGAAAAATACGACCGAATTTTGTCGTTATTGCAATCATTTAAATGTATGTACAGATGCGTGCAACTAATTAGCAACGAAATTCAAAACGATTTTGCTTGCAAATTATGTTTATTTATTTATTTTTAATAATTTTCATTTAAAATATAATTCAATTTATATCAGAAACCACAATAACAAAAGTTGCAAAGCTTGCACAAATTGCAAAAAAATTAATCAAACTTCAAAAAATTGTCATCAAAATTTCAAAATTTTTAATTAAAATATTTAGAAAATTTTCGGGTATGCA